GTGTGTATATATATATGCGTATATATAAATATATATATATGTATGTGTATATATATATACATATGTGCATATATATATATATATATATATATTTATGTATGAGTATATATATATGTATATATATATATATATATATATATATATATATATATATATATATATATCTGTGTGTATATATATGTGTATATATATATATTTGTGTATGTATGCATGTATGTATGTATGTATGTATGTATGTATGTATGTATGTATGTATGTATGTATGTATGTATGTATGTATGTATGTATGTACAGTCATGTGCATGAAAATAGCAGTGGCACAAAAAATTATAAAAAAACCTTATTAAATTTAATGATATGCATAATTTCGGACCGTAATTGTTAATTTTTCATAATTAAGTGTTATCTGACACTATTTAGTCTAAAAAAAGCTTTTAAACTTAAATGGACAATATCATACTACCATTTTTTTAAAAAAGGTACTTTTATCACATTTAATGAATGCAGATTTACCATTAAAAAAGTAAATAAAATATAACATTGATGAAAAACTATTTATTCATCTTTTGAAAATACATCTAATACTTAGTTCCATGACCCTTATTTTTCAATACTGCTTTACATCTTCGTGGCATTGACTCGATTAGATGACAACATCTTTCTAAGGGAATAGCTCTCCAAGCTGCTTCAACTGCTCTCCAGAGTTCCTCTTTATTGGCTGGTCTAGACAAAGATACTGCTCTTTTAACATCCCCCCACAGGTTTTCTATCGGGTTCAGGTCTGGGGATTGTGCTGGCCAGTTCATTACTTCAACCTTATTCTCTACAAACCAATTTTTAGCTTTACGAGAGGTGTGTTTAGGATCATTATCCTGCATAAAGATCCACTTCAAAGGCATTTCTTCTTTTGCATATGGTAACATGACTTCTTGCAGTATTTTAACATAAGCAGTTGCATCCATGATGTCTTTGATCCAAAAAATAGGGCCCAATCCAAACCAAGAAAAACAACCCCATGCCATCACCTGGCAGCCACCATGTTTTATTGTCTTGGTGGTATACTTTATATTATATTCTGTTCGTGGGGGTCTTCGTATAAACTTTTCGTGAATACCTGGATTAAATAAAACAATTTTAGTCTCATCACTCCAAAGAATATTACGCCATTTCGATGATGGCCATTCTTGATGCTCTTTAGCAAATGCGATTCGATTTTTAATCTGTCTCTTATTTAGAAGTGGAGTTTTTCTGGGCCTTCTGGCTTTTAAATTGGCTTTTATCAAACGTCTTCTCACTGTCGAGGACGATATTGGTAAATTTAATTCCGTTTTTATGGCTGTGGAACTCATAAAAGGATTTATCTTTGCACATCTAATAATTTTACGGTTCGTTTTCAATGACGTTTTAAATTTTCCCCCACGCAATTCCGCTTTTTGTGTCCATTTTTTGACATTGGAAATCATTTTTGCAGAACATTGTAAAGCATCTTGGATGAATTTGTAAGTTTTACCATCTTTTAACATATTTAAAATTATTTGATGCTTCTCATTGGAACAATGTTTTGCTCTACCCATTTTAACTGTAATAAAATTGTGAAACTTAATAAAATATCGTTTAATTTTAATGAACAAACACTTACCTTAATGTATAAAAAAAATTGATGGTAAAAACAACTTTTAAGGCACTAATAGAAAATAAAGTGTATATTCACTGCTATTATAACGCACAGTTAATAAAGCAAAATTTTATAATTTAATTTAAATTCTGATACATGTATGTGTAAACAGCAATATTGCCAACCTCTTTATATTTAAAAACCCTAACAGAAAATATTTAGAGAATAAAATATACAAAATTAACCATCAGTAAAAAAATTAAATGTATTTTATAAATAATTTTCTCCCACTGCTATTTTCATGCACATGACTGTATGTATGTATGTATGTATGTATGTATGTATGTATGTATGTATGTATGTATGTATGTATGTATGTATGTATGTATGTATGTATGTATGTATGTATGTATGTATGTATGTATCTATATATATATATGTATCTATATATATCTATCTATCTATCTATATATATATATATATATATATATATATATATATATATATATATATATATATATATATATATATATATATATATATATATATATATATATATATATATATAGATATATAGATATATACAGTGCTGAAAACAGAGAGAAAAAAAGTTGCACTAAAGCTAAATATTTAAAAATATTTAGCTTTAAAAATGCAGATAAAAATTATAAAATGTTAGCATTATTTTTGTTGGTGTTTTAAGAGTCTAAAAAATGTATTAACATGTTTAAATACATGTTTTAAACGTCTTAAACACATCTTGTGCTCACTGGGTAATGTTTTATATTGGATGAATGAGAAGCAAACATTTCTAAATCTTAGTTTTAAACAATTTTTTTTCGATTAAAAATTTTTTTTTTTTTTAGCAATAATATTTTGAATAATCCTAGTTAAAGCCATAAAATATTTAAAAATACAGCAATTATAATAACTAAAAATACAGCAATTATAATAATTAAAAACCTTCTGAAGAAACATTATTTTTCAGCACTATATCTTCAGGTTTTATAAATTCATTTGAAAAGTCTATCTGAACTGGGGCTAGTTTTGGCTTAGCTCGCTTTTGATGGTAATCCAAAGCTTCTTTGATAATCTTCTCTTTTAAAATATCTCTATCAAGTGGGAGACTTTCAATATCGTACCTAAACTCAGCACAAGTAGGTTCATCATCAAGGTCATGATACCTGAAAAAATATTTTATAAAAAAATATGTAAAAGAAACAGAAATAATTTAATAAAATTTTATATTTTTTGTAAAATTGAACATTTAAAAAATATTAAAAAACTACAAAGATCACCTTTCAACAAACTTATGATCTAATGCTTTTTCTACTGAGAACCTGTATTTTGGGTCAAGTACTAACAAATTTTTCAGTAGATCCATAGATTCAGCAGAAGCATTTGGAAACATTTTTGATAACGGAACAGCATCTTTGTGCGGCAACTTTGTAATATATTTTCGAACACGGTCCGAAGATATTGTACTGAGAAACTCTACAGAAGGAAGACCAACAACACTCAATATAAGCTAAAAATTAAAATCTTTTTTGTAAAATTATCTTAATATTAAGTTATTAACAAATAACCTTTTGATTATTGGAAAAAGGATAGGACATGGTTAGGTGCTTTACAAATAATAATTTTAGACAGGGGCTTCCTTCTCACCAAAAACTTCAACTAAATGTTTTGCTAAAATATTATTTTCTGACATTTTTTGTATTCAGGTTTAACTAACAATGAATTCTGAGAAAATACTTACAATGAATTTCACAAAAATTTAAAGATAAAACCAAGTTTCAACTTGAGCAAATTTTCAAATGCTCAGTGACAATGTTTTATACAACTTTTTATATTTATTTAATTCTTTTTGATGATAAAAAAAAAGAAATAATTTTAAAAATAAAGTTACTCATTGCTTTGTATACAACAGTCAAAAGCACAAAGCTCTTTGGCCAATACTTTCCAAAGACAATACATGATCAATGTTTGCTTAATACCTAAAGAAACTCTTCAAACTTTTTTTATTGTCAACATTAAAAAAAATAGAAACAGAGTACACAGAAATAACGCTCTTATAAGGCTCTTTATTTGACTCTGTTTTGGTTTAAACATAAACATGTTCTTAATTTCAATCTTAAAGTTGCAAGCCTTTTCTAACCTTTTGGGAAGAACTTAAATAAAAAATACAGAGATAACATAAGTTTTTATCTATAAAGGTTATTATCTACATTCTTATTATCTATAAAGGTTAAATTGCTTATTATCTACATTCTTAAAAATCTTAATACTAATATGTATTAAGATTTATAGAAATGTAGATAACATTATTTGATAATAATGATGATTACTATAATGGACACTGCTCTAAAGATTTGATAAGATGTAAGTTTAGTATGATGTCATTCATTTATATAATATGATGTCATTCATATATATATTTTAATATATATATATGAATGACATCATACTATATATATATATATATGAATGACATCATACTAAACTTACGTCTTATCAAATCTTTTAATAAAGATCAAGTCTTGATACTATTTAGCAAATTAAATTACAATATTGAAATCTGCTAAGAGTTTCTCCTTATTAAAAATATCATTTTCATACGTTTGATTAACTCACTGAATTATATATTTTCCTCAAATGATGCCTTTTCTATAAATCCAAGTTATGTTTAATTTGTTTAAAATGTGAAAAACACATATTAAACTTATCTGAGTTGTTACTCTCATCTGAGTTGTTACTCTTTCAAAAATTACATGTAGTTATTAAACAAAGACTGGGACTTAAAAACATAATTTGACAAATTCGGATAAAATTTTCAAAATTTTTTTTAAGTAAAACTATTACTATTGCCAAACTTTTAAGCTTAAAAAAAGTCCTGGTACTACCAGGAACGTGGTGGGGATCAAACTCAGAACCTCTCCCTTTATGAAGTGAGCGCTCTACCACTACTCCACCATATCCTTGATAGTACCGCGCTCAACTTATTTCTCCACGCAGTGGCCTTGTTCATCAAGTTCTGTGTTTCAATATTATAGAGTTGAGAGAGGGTTGTAACCACAACTATAGTAGCCTCCCTCGACTGCAATGGCCTTCATGGCCTAGGGAAGGTGAATTATAATTAAAAAAAAATTAAAATAAAAAAATACCTGAAGTTGATTAAGATAATTACTTCCTGGAAATAGAGCAGCTCTACCAAGCATTTCTGCAAAAATACATCCTACTGACCACATATCAATAGCTTTAGTGAATTGATGCACAGTAAGCATCAGCTCTGGTGCTCGATACCAGCGAGTTGCAACATATTCTGTCATTACACGCTTTTGCTCAATAGGTGAAGATAGAAGACTCCTTGCCATGCCAAAATCACCTTAAATACATGTTTGATAATATTTATTAATTGTTGAATAGTGATTTTACTTATAGAAGTGACATACAGCCCTCGGAATTAGAAAAAATGAGGTCTTAATCGGTTAGAGGTTGACCCTGATGCTGACCTCAATCTGTTAGAAGTTGGCATCAGGTTGACAAAAAAAGTTTGGTACAAAGGTTTTACCAAAACACATAAAAAAAAGGTTGGCAATTTTGCCGACCTTGTTTGCCTCAGAATTAGGGTCAGCATTTGGCTTTTTTGAATGACTTTAATTTGCAGACTCTAATTGTGAGGGCAGGACATATAATAATGACATTATTCACAATGTCATATAAGTTCATAATGAGATATAAACTTTAAAAAAAAAAATGCAACATAATAACAAATAAGCTTAGAAAACATAACAAATCTTATATTAATTATAAAGTTTAAAATTTGAAAATTATACAAATAATAACATTCAAAATGGTCTAGCTAGAAATATTTGAAGAGCTATTTCTCATCAAAAATTGAAAGCTGTAGAAAAATAATATTACACAAATTCGAAACTTCTGTGCATGACTTGCACGATTATTAATGAAATGCATTAAAAAGATTGCTGTGAATTTATGATACATAGTGCAATCCTATAACTTTCTAGAAATCTTTACTAATGTTTAAAATATTATTTAAAATAAGTATACTGCTGAAACTTATATTTTCCGAAGAATTAAAGTTTATTTATCTGGTAACTAAAATTTAAGGGTTTTTCTGTTTCATGAGTGATTCTGCATTAAAGTTATTTATTCTTTGATAACATCACATTTTTAAACAAAAAATGGCATCTATGCCATTTTTTGTTTAAAAATATTCATATAGATTAGAACTAAATAAGAGTAAATTGGAGATCACCAATTTTGTTTAAAAATATTTATATAGATTAGAACTAAATAAGAGTAAATTGGAGATCACCAGTTTTATTTTTATAAAGATAATAGACAAAACATAAACAAATTTCCTGGCGTGATTTTTTGGAAATGCCCTTGTTCAACTTTTTTCTGTATATTTTTTTCTAAGATGGCATATTACTAATATATATTATTTATTTTAACTTTTAAATTGCTGCCTTTAATCCAGACAATTGGACAAAAGAAGTGTGATAAAAGAATTTTATATATGGTATAAAAATATTATATGATTATAATATCAAGCCTTGTTATGAAATTTTGTTTTGTAATGGAAAATAAGCAAGGTAAGTAAATATAACTTAACTCAATATCCATATTTATATCGTTAAAAGTTGAGTTAAGCTAGTGTTTAAAGTACTGCAAGTAATTGAAACATATTGTCAATATTATAAAGAGCATTTGACTGGAAAGCTCATCTCCTTCCTTACCAATTCGAACCAATACTCAAATTGAGTATCGGTTCGAATGCTACGCCTTGTTAAGAGGCGTTACCAAGCTCGCATTTTATGTGCGAAAAGGCCAAGTGCCTACGCGTTCAGCAGTTTAACGTTAAGAGAAAACTTTTATCTTTTAGAATATTTAGTTTTTATTTTGATATCGTTGATGTGACCTTTATTCAGAAAATATAATGTTGTAAGTAAAATCATTTAGATCTTTTAAAGACTTTTATAAATTTGATCTAATAGTTTTAATTTTATTTTAACTTTAATCCAATTTGTGCATATATTTGTGCATATATTATATACATCCTGTTAACAATATGTTAAAAAAACATTTATAGTCTTTAACTTAATTAAATATTTTAAAAATTAAACAATATTGGTAAAAAAAAAAAAAAAAAAAAAAATTAATCAAATTTTAATGTTGTTTGAAAAAAAAAAAAAAAATATTTATTTAAACTTTAAAAAATTATATTTAATACTATTTATTTCTTAAAACATTTATAACACAATATTATCATCCTATAAATGCTTTTTAACAAAAGTTTTTCATTATTATTAAGTTTAACAATTACAAAAAACAATCAACTTAAGAGTCAGTGTGGCACTCATCGTTATCAACTTCGGAAATACAATTACAAATACTGTCCATTACAATTCCTGTGGTAATATACTTAAATATCCAAATCATTGTGAAATCATGATTCAAGTAATTTAGAAACATTTCGGGAAATGTGTTTCATAGTAATAAAATTTTAAATTATAAAATACAGTTGGAAACAGTAACAGACAAACATGTAACATGCAAAGAATATGCTTCAAAGACTTTTAGTATTTTAATATTTTTTAAATGTTAAAAATAGAAGTAGAAGGTCAACCACAAAAAAATAGCAAAAATTATTGTTTTTTGAAATTTTCTAAAAATTCATTAGGAATAACTGTTTAAACTAAAAATATAGAACTTTGCACCCCCCACCCCCTCCTAGCAACAAGCACTTCTGTATATTAGCACTTTAGTTACAGAATTAAAAAAAAAATTATTGGTGGGTCATTCCAGCTCAAACCAGTTTATGCACCATGCCATCTCAGATTTTGATGCACCATGCCATTCTCAGATTTTGATGATTTTTGGTATACAAACTTAATGAAAAAAAACTTCACTCCAAATTTCAGTGTCTGACTCCTTACGGTTTCAGAGATATAGATACTAAGTCGCAATCTCTTTTTGATTATTTTTTTCAGCTGTATTTATTTTTTAAGCTAATTACATAACACAATTAGCTTTAACTTATAAAATACTTGCTCAATAGTGTTGAAAATTTGTACCTAACTATTTATTTGGGAAAGGAACTCAAAAATTATACCCAAAACTCTAAAAAATTTAAGCTTCTCGATAAAAATTCAATTTTAAAATAGTGTAACACTTTTTAGAAGTTTTTTGATGCCCCATACAAAAAAAAGTATATCTTAAGATGCCTAAAAGATATGACTCTGAAAATTTTTCCTCTGGTTGGTTCTATATAACTAACTCTTTATTAAAAAAAAAAACAGCAAACGTTTCTTTTTTTGAATCTGATTTTATAAAAAAGTTTTATAAAAAATTAAGAAAAATTGTTTTTTAATAACAAAAAAACAAAAAAACAAAAAAAAAAACAAAAAAAAACATTTTTTTTATTTTTTTAAAAAGGTTTTAGAATCTCAGGTACAGTTTTAATATATAAACTTGTTTGCATTTCACATTAAAGATCTTCACTTTATACAACCTTTATGTTTAATGAAGGATTTTCTATTTATGAATCTTCAAATAATTATTTTAAAATTATTTCTTACTAAACTAAAAAGTAATATAAAAATATTAATGATAAAGGAAGATGTTCAATTGGATTAATAAATAAAGAAAATTGTCACAACAAACATCCAATGATATCAAAAATGATATGAAAATCAAAATATCAAAAATAAAGTGAAATCCAACAATATCATGAAAATTTAAAGTCTCAATGATGTAGAAAAAAGACTTGATAATTCTCTTGATAGCTCTGGCATTGAAAGTGATGAAAATGCAACTTCCATGAATATGTTTACTTGAAACATTACTCCATAATCCACATAAATTACTGTGATCCATTTAATTCACACAATTGAAAAAGAAGATTGGTTATTAGTGTTATTTCTGGAGAAAAGATATGTCCATAATGTATAACTAAATTGATGTCATTTAAGGATGATAGACCAGGAGAACCAACTTCTCTTGAGGACCAGGAGAACCAACTTCTCCTGAGGACCAGGAGAACCAACTTCTCCAGAACTTCTTCAGATTTATGAAGATAAAGATAATGAACTTCTTTAATCTTGATACCTTTTTGACAGCTATGAACATAAATCCTCTTAAAAGGCTGTGAATGATTCAATACTCAAGAGTTGCTTTTGGTAAAAAGAAATCATTACATGTTCAAGGACTTTAAATAAAGATCCTGATCAGTTAAGCCGATTCCTTCAATAAATTATTTAAGAAAGTTAAATGTAAAGCAAATGAGATGGATATACTTTTAGGAAAATTTAAAGAAAAAATATTAACAATCAAATAGAATCAGAGGACTCAATTACTACTGGTTCCAATACTTTGGTCTAACAAAGTTATAGAAAAACAATTTAATGTTACTAAATATGTGGTGCAGATATCACACTAACTGCTTCTGAAAAATAGTATTTTATCTTTCCCTGAAAAAAAAAAAAGGAAAGGAAATATTTCATTTGAACTTATATGTATTTACTGTATGACTTGTTTTCCTCATTTTTGCTCAAGTCATCCAAAATGGTGCATTACAGTGTGAGCATCTGGTATGCATACAACATGTGTGCGATCACAAACATACTGTATACCAGATATACCATCAAAATACATATACACACATATTGTATGCTTGATACACCATCAAAATCGAGTTAACAATTAGTGCAGTTGAATTATCAAAAGATTATCATGGACTTATTGATATGCTTGTTTGTAGTATTGCATAACACATTGTCTTTTGTGTCCAGAAGATTCTATATTAAGACATTGTCTTGAAAAATGAGTTCTACTCTCAAGAAGATATTAATGAAGATGATGGTTATTGCATAGATTACAAACAATGGAAGACCGATCTTCATTAATAATCTAATAAATAAGTTATAAAAAAATTACTGTACATTCTTACATTGCAAAACATTCATACATAGCTGATTTTTAATAGAAACTAAAAAATGATATGGGGTTTAGAATTCTAAAACTTTTAAATGCAAATAAATCTGATTTAAAAAAGATTACCCTTACCCATTTTTTTTATTTTATGTCACTTGTTACATATAGAACATTACGAAAAAAGATCATAATCATATCTTTCAGACATCTCAACATTTTTTGTACAGGACATCAAAAAACTTACAAAAAGTACTACATTATTTTGAATTTAAATTTTCATATAGAACATTACGAAACATATAGAACATAGTTAAGTTTATTTAAAAATTCAAGGTGATATTGTATTTAATCCGATTATTATTCAATTCAATTAAATTATTATTAAATTCAAATAGAATTAAATTCAATAGAATTAAATTCAAGGTG